GCAAGGTGACCAGGGAAGTGGCTGGAGTAAGAGGGGCTAGTACTGTGTGTCCTTGGACTCCCTGCAGGTAAGGGGAGTGAGAGGAACTGTGGACGGTTGACATCTCTCAGTGACAGCTGGACTCCCTCCACCAGGSAAACCTAACAAATTTGGTCAAAGTATTTTGGTAGCAGCAACAGGTGGTTGGGAAATTTATGAGTAAGGCTTTGGTATCTATGAAGGATCCCAATTCACTAGTTCTAGAACTTTTCCCAACAGTTCATGAGGTGGCTCTAAAAATGACTGTTAAAAACATAAACTAAACATTCCACCCATTCTTAGTCCTTGGGGTCAGCCTACAGATATGAGGACCCATGGGGCAAAGCATACCCATGCGACACTCACATCAGTTTGGAAGCATTATACAATAAATGCTTCCACCCATTCTTTGACTTTTCTTTCCACTAGTGCTGCACAGTGTATCCCTGAGATTACAAGGTATCAGGCCCAGGCCTTTAGCAGAAAGGCCTTTAACAGAAGATTAAGCTCTCTGCACAAAAGTCAGCTTAGTGCCCTTTCCTGCTAGTGTCTTTTTGCACCGTGATGGGGTGATGGGGGTCCATGCTTTCTGTGGGGCCTTTGGTTGTCTTTTGGCAGGCTGGGGTACACCACTGCCTCTTTCAAAGTTACTTAACATTCCCCTCCCTCAACTCTCTTAAATGTTAGCTGATTACTATAAGAATTCAAGAACATCTTAATTTAAGGAACTTGATTTATAAATTATCATATGGGGTTGGAAATATAGCTCAATGGTAGAGCACTATCCTAATGTATGAAAAGCCCCAGATTAGAATCCCCCATATCCCCCCAAAAGGGACATGCCACCAAGATTTTAGCTCTGAAAGTAAAGAGAAGGAATGCTGAATCATTCTGCTAAGAGACAAACTGTAACACAACCTCATTTCCCAGGTCRGATTCATTTTATGTGTTTTGGTTTCTGTCCCTGAGTTAGTGACTAGTTTCTTGAGCCAGTTTATGATTCAGATGGGTAGATGGTCAAAAAAACTTAATGTCACTAGTGAATCTGTCCTTTATGATGGCTCATCACAGAAACATTTACACGTTCAATCMTGATCTCCCAAACACAGAAGCTAATTATAACAAAAGTCTCATGTACTTCAAATTAGCCTTTAAGGCACTTTACTCAGTCATCCTACAAGCAGGAACTGCAGGCCTGCAATGTACCAGTTAGAGAGTATACATTTGAGGAATCCACAGTTATTTAGGGGGAGAAGGGATAGAAACCTTGTAAATAGAAGCATTACATTGAAAAAGGTGAGTGTAACTTTTAAAGGTATGGAAATGTTATTTGGCAGCACATGGAAGAGAGTGACTACTTGCAGACATGGTAGGGAGTTCAAGAAAGACTTGTATACAGAGATGAGTGATTTGTGCCAGATTTAAGGGATGAATAATAATTCAACATGTGGAGGGGGCAAGATGAACAACTCAGAGGATTTTAGTGTAAGGCCAGGAATCATAGAGGGATATGTTGAAGTCACTGTAAGCCCATGTAGAGCAGAAGGGATGAGACACACACAATGTTTAGACTAGAATTACTAAGTATTAGTTCTAATTCCCAGCCACTATTATGTGTCAGTGACCCACACTGGCATCTATAAGAATTAATATGTAAATAAAAAAACCTAGACCTATGCCTTACACAAAACACTATAAATAGATAGCTAGCTAGCYGTGGCTATTAATAATAGTAATAATAATAATTTGATGTGCACTTTGTCACATTCATCACCTTATGCTTAGGGTTGAGAATAATTAATAAATATTTGGTGAATGAATGAATGAAGAACTGTGGCTTCTAAAAAAGAAATGGGAGATAGTTGTGATTTTCATAATGCTACACCCAACAGAAGTGAAAGGAGGATGTTTTCTATAGGATTGCTTGAGTCACCTAAAGATCATTCCCCTTGCCCCAGTTATCTCCCCAACCATCTTTTTGGGGAAGGGTAGATTACTACATTAAGAATAATAAGCATGAAACCTTGCATTTGTATAGCATTTTCTGTTTATATGTATAGTATTATTTAAAATAATTGCAACCTTTAAATTCAAAACTTTGAATCTCTTATCTGAATCCTACTTCCAGATACAACCTGAAATTCAAGTTCTTGGATTTGGTCTCCCATTAGCCTCTAGAGAGGAAAGCTCATAAATGAATTTAAGCAATTCATTGAGGCACTGACCACCCATATGTTCCCCAAACCAACTTCTTTATTATCTACCTACMCTAATCTAAAGAAGAAAAGAAAGAAGTAATGGCACAAAGACTTTGAAAGGTGGTACCTAATTTCCTAAATTATAAAATTGCTTGCAAAGTCAGTGTCTAGTGAGAAAAATTTGAATTTAATTCAGCTCAATTCCACATCTACTGAGAAAGATACCATAAGTTGAGGGTATCTAAAGCATAATTATCTGTATAAATGGGCTGGGATTTAGGATATCAAGTTTTTTGGGGGGATTCCAGAGATTGTTTTATAGTGTTGGAAATTGAACCCAGGGCTATACTCCAAGACCCAGATATTAGGTTGTTTTGTTTTGTTTTAACTGTGGATGTGCTAGCTAGCTAGATAGTATTAAGGAAGTCACTACATCTATTTGAGCCTCAAGTTCTTTGTAAAATGAAGGAGTTAAAATGAATGATCTTCAAGTCCTTCTCAGCTCTCATATTCTATAATTCTCAAAAGGGAAATAGCATCACTATCATTATAACTGTATATATTTCAAGTAAGTGAATCCTGAAGTATTTTTCAGGGGAATAACTGGCTCAGCAAATTGCTGAGGGTTTTCTACAGTTTGACTGTAGAAGAAGCTGGGAAATAGAACTCACATCTTTATTCATCCAAAAATTGAGTGCCTACTCCATACAAAACATCATTCAAGTCACTATCATAGCCCTGAACAAAGCAAACAAGGTGGCTCTTCTCACAGAACTCACTTTCTTGTACTTGAATTAACCTATTCCCACAGCCAATAAATCTTTTGACAGCTAAGAACAGCAGAAATGGTGATCTAATAGGCTTGTTTTATGTGCTTTGATTTGTATGTAACCATTTCTGAATTATCAAGAAATGAAAACTGCATCAAAAATTACTTACCTTTAATTTCTCCATCACCAGGCAAATAGCTATGTAGAGTTTCTAGTAGTTAAAAATAAGTAATTCCTGGTTTGTGAACTGATTGGAATACATCCACACATGAATTCCATTAAATTTTAAGACACTAGACAAAGGGTGTAAATGTTTTCTATAGGATGAGTGTTTAATTTTCTCTTGTACTAGGACTGATTCTTAAAAATGGGTTTTTTTTCAATACAGAGAGCATTTTTCTACTTGTTCACAGAATACATGATGGGTCTACAAAATGAACATGATGTGAAATTCTGGTTTCTATAGCTCAAAAAAGACATCTTCATAAACCATAAAATAAATAAAGAAATAAGCAAGCAAGCAAACTCACAGGGGCATGGGGAATATTAGGTGTGTGTGCGTTTTCAGTATCTAACTTAGATCAGCAAAATACAACAGATTATCCTATTTAAATATGACATTAAAACATGGAATTTTCAAGCTGTGGAAACCTCAACCCTAAGTTTCATAAACGAGAAGCTTGAGATTTAAAGACAAAGTGACTTACCCAAAACAAAGACAAGATACAGAGCTGTAATGAGAATCCAGGTCTGCAGACTCCCTATTCAGGAGTCTATTTCTACATTAACTAATTGTAAGTTTTAGCAAATCGAAGATAGAGAGAGGAAACCCTTTACATTACATTGGAAAGACATCTCTTTAAACATAAGGCACCTAATGTTTGTAGTGTACTTCTTCAACAGGATATACAATCTGATATTACATATGTAGGGTTAGGTAAACTATGGATGAAGACCTACAACTGATATATTCCACTTAGGGACTGGTTATACTCAAAATCTCACTTGTAAGTATCCTGTTCAGAATTTGGAATCCCTTTCCTTGCCAAAGAAAAGAAACAAATTATGTGCCTGTTTAATCCCATAGAATAATATGAACAGTATCCCAAGAAGCACCCTGAACTAGAATCAAGCCCMTTTGAGTCCTGGACCCTCTTAAATAGCTGGACACCTCTGGTGGAGCAAAGGAGACAATCAGCAAGTCAGTGGGTACGAGGTTCCTAAGCCACAAATTCCTAAAGCAGAAAGGCCTTGTAGTAAGGATAATTAAGAATATCTGAAAACATAACTTAACCTTTTGAGGTCAGGGTCAGAGATGACAACCACATCTTACCCCCAAAAAAAGTCTCTGGGACACAGCAGTGGAGTGATTGAATGATGTGTACCTGAAATCACGGCTTTTCTGGAATAAGAATTCAACACTTTTAGGGAGGAGGCTGAGTTAAAAAAAAAAAAAAAACCGCATCAAAAGTCTCCTCTCCCACTTTACACTTCAGAGGTGACTYCAATCTTCCTTGGGTTTTCCCCATATGTAGGTTCCCGGTTTGGGTATAATTCTCTATGTAGGGCATTACTGATGTATATACACCGCTGGAAAAGTTTCGAAACATCTATCATAATAGGAATTTTGCAAATTTAGTTTAGCTTCTTAAATCTCAGTCTAAACGGACAGGGTATGGATGAAAGAGTAATTTGCAAATTTGGGGTTTGCAGCTTGATTTTTCTCGGACACCAGGGTCGCTGCAGGTGAATTTGGGTTCCTCACAAAACAAAGTCCCCAAAGTAAATTAAATCACCTTCTCAAATCTTGGCCTCAGGGCAGATGATAGTGATTAAAGGAGGTTATGAAGGTGAGGGGCTTTCTCTAACACAAGGGGTCTCGCCCGAGAGAGCGGCTGGTTTGCAGGGCCGGAAGGAGACTTGGCTGCGGGAGGCCCAGGAAAGCGCGCCCACCCGGACGGCCCTCAGAGACCCCGGCGCGCCGCCCAGCTCTCCCAGGTCCCGCCTCGCTCACCGAGGTGGCCGCCGATGACGGTGACGGCGATCTGGTCCATGAACACCGCCCGGAAGCGCACGTCCTGCTCGGAGCAGCGCTGCCGGAGGGCGCGCAGGATCTGCACCTGCGGGTATTCCTCGCGGATGCGCCGGTCAGTCAGGAACCAGAGCTGGGAGCACATGGTGGCCAGGGCGGCGGCGCCCGGCGCGGCGCGGACCCCTTAGCGCCCTGACCCGCTCTCTTGGCAGGATTGGCGGCGGGCGTCYGGGGCCAGCGCACCGCGGCTCCACTCCCGCCAGTGCGCCAGGCGCCTCTGCAGCCCTGACCCAGCGAATCTGCCCGGCCACTCAGCGCCGCCGCCGGCCAGCCAGCCAATCAGCGCGCGGCGGTGGGCGCGGGCCGGCCGCGCGGCCAGCTGCAGAGGCTGCCCCGGCGGGCGGCGCCCGGGAGGGGCGGCGGGCCAGGGGCCTGCGGCGTCCGGAAAGCCGAGCCAGGCGGGGCTTGCAGCCGCGGTGAGCCCAGGAGCCGCCGCTGGCGGGGATGGCCAGGTGGAGGGAGGGCATCCCTGGCCGGTGCGGGGACCCCCCCGGTGGGCGTGGCGCTGCTGGCACGGGTTGGGCGGACAGAGCGGGAGGGGCCCGGGCGGCGGCCCAATGAAGYGAAGAGGATGTCTGAGAGGATGAGCTTGCGGTGCGCAGTGGGTAGCAGATCCTCCCCAAAGGCGATCCCGAGCGCTTGGGCCGGGATACCGACGACTGTCTGCAGAGCCCGGGGCAGGGCCTCGGGGATTTCCCAAAGGAGATTCCGGGGCCTGGCGAAGGTCAAACAGATAGGCCCCCCCCCATTGGACCCTACCCTTAGAAGAGAGATTTCTCTTCCCAAATTCTGGCCTTCGGAAGCCAGTGGTGGGTGTGGGTGGGAGTCGAGTTTTAGCAACCTCCGGTTCAGATAATTTGAGGTGCATTTGTCAGGATCTCAGATTTCTTACACAGAACACTCCCTTCTAGTTTGCACCAGCTCTGGGCCTCCACAACCTCAATGTCATAAAAAATAGATCTAAGACACCTTTTATTTAGAAGGACCACTTGCTTGTCTCTATTCCCTCTCTCACTCCCTGTCTCTTTTCTAAACAATTCAACTGAGTCATCTTTAAACATCGCCCTGGTCCTAGCCAGTTGCAAATCCTGCCTGCAAACAACAGTGTTTGAAGTGAGCTTTTTCTTTCTAAATAACTGTAGGACTGAAGTTAGCCATCTTTGAAATTTTCATTTTCTCTTCAGCTCATTAAAATGTCTTTTCTTTTTTCTTTGCTTTTTTTTTGGGGGGGGGAGCTTAGAGAAGTAAGAGTACAAATATAGTTTCATAGTTTCAAAGTAGGACTAGCAGTGAAGAAATGACTATTTTTGTATGGGTGTCATGTTTTGTTATATCACCAGAATTCCTCAAGCACTGAGGTAGCTTCTCCAGGCATAGGATTATTTTTTAAGATAGATCATGCTATGGTTTGGATAAGTATCCCCCAAAAGCCCATGGGTTAAGGGCTTGGTCATGGCCAGTCTTACTATCAGGAGGTGGTGGAACCTCTAATAGGTGGGACCTCGTGGAAGGAAGTTAGGTGGGTTATTGAGACTCTGGCCATTCCCTCTTTTTCTTTGCTTCCTGGTTGCTATGAGTTGAGCAGCTTCCTCTGCCTCATGCTTCCACACTGATGTACTACATCACCATAGGCCCCCAAATAATGAGCTTACCAACCAGGGACTGAAACCTCTAAAATCATGAGCCAAAATAAACCTTTTCTCCTTATAAGTTGATTGTCTCAGGTATTTTGCTATGATAATGCAAACAGACTAACACATGTTTGCATGTTTGCCAAAGAAACAATGTAATATTTCTCCATTGATTACTTTCAAATTCAAATTTAAATTTATTTTGCTGAGCTTCAGCAAAATAAAAGGATACCAATAGCATCCTGCCTCACCTCAATGTCCCTAAAGCTAAATTTGTTATTTTCCCCTTTATTCCAGATTAAACTGTCTTAAGCAATAAGGAAAATATATTCTCTCATGTAGAAGAAAACTTGGGATAGATATCCATATTTTTAAAGGTGCCCTGAATGATGTGTTCTGTCATAGGTTACATGAATTTTTATAGTTACAGAACAAAGAAGGTAATAAAGCAATACATTTAACAAATACATTGGTTTAGGTATTAGGTAGGTAGACTACAGAAAAGTAGGAAAATCTTTTTGTATAGGTTTCAGCTGTTATAGAATTCTTGGCTTTAAGATTGATGGAGGTTAGAGGCTTGCTAATCTTAATAATACATTCCTACAGGTTTATCTAATAGTCATGGGATTTTAGGTCAGACACAAAGGTTAAAAGCAAATGGTGGGCTGGAGTTGTAGCTCAGTGGTAGAGCACTTGTCTAGCATGTGTGAGGCACTGGGTTCAATTCTCAACACCCACATATAAATAAATAAAATAAAGGTCTATCAACAACTAAAAAATATTTTAAAAAACCAGCAAATGACTATTTTTCTAAGGGGCCAAAGATAGCACAAGATAATTTTGGCTCTTACCCTGCATCATTCCATTTCTTTGCAGTCACAATGTTCTGCTCTATTAGGTCAAAGGGTCTATATAATCTTTTAAATCCACATGGCTTCTTTAAAGAACTTCAGCTTCACACTAGCAAAGAGTAAGAAACTATCATAAATGACTTAAGTTAATTAGGATTGCCCCCTGTGGCTAGGAATTATATTTCCCTCCCCAAGCACATGGCCTTGAAGAGGTGGATGATACTGGGCAAAACTGGAGTTGTCTTGGGAGATCAGACATTGGTTGGGAAGACAAACAATGGTATTTGATGCAGATGGCAATATGGTAAGTGTATCAGTTAGGATAAGCTAGGTTTAGCTATGGTAGGTAACAAATGATCCCAAGGTGGCTTCTAATAACAAAATTTTATTTCTCAAAATATCATGTATGTCCACTGTAAGACAGATTAGCTATCCTCTGGTTGTCTTCATGCCGGAACCCAGGCTGATAGAGCAATCTATAACTGGAACAATGTTAGTATATCGTGGAAGAAGGAAAACAATCATGGTGAACTACATACTGACTCTTAATAATTTGGCCTGGAACTTATACATGTTAGATATGCTTACATTTTCTTCACCAGAATAGGTGTACCTGGCCATACCTGATACTCATGGGGTAAGGAAGTATAATCTTTCCCTGAGAAGGGCAGCAAAAATTTGCAAGAAATTGCAACCAACAATAGAATTATCTGCAATCAAGACCAGAAATAGTCAAATCCTGTTCTTCTAATCATCTCTCCTCTCCTTAGGATTCCCAAGGGAACTATGCACAAAAAAGAAATCGGAATAGGAACCAAAAAATCATTTTATTCAAGCTCAGTTAACACCCAGTAACCTCTAAAGCAGACTCCTACCAAAAATTCCCTGCTCCCCTCCTCCCCTGCAAATTTTGGGGCCTGTACACTTAGGCATGCCTGCAGTCAGGAGAAGATGACCAGATGTACAAAGCAGACCACGTTTTTGTTTGTTTTAGAGATAAGGCTCTCACTATTTTGCCCAGGCTGGCCTCAAGCTCCTGGGTTCAAAGTGATCCTTCTACCTAAGACACCTGCTTTGCTCATCTAAGTGTCTGTTAAATGGAGACTGGGCTGGATCTATACAGCAGGATATGGGAAATGACCTTTTAATACAAATCGACCACAACCACTAATAAAATGTGGACTAGTTAATGTCCTGGTACAATATTGTGATATAACAAGATATATATATATATTAGTCTTTGTTCAAGCTCTTAACTATATCTCCAAAAACTTGTAATTTCCTAAGTGATAGTTATATTTGGCTTTGTCTCCATTCCTGAACAGCTGAAGGGAACACATTTTGTTATTTATTACAAGCTTCTTTCAATCACACCTGTGTTTATGTTAATGAGGTGACTTTTGGAAAGCTCCCATAGGGGGCTGATTATAAGAGGAACAAACCATGTGATTACAGAGTCAGAACTTTCAGCCTCACCATCACCTCTGGAGAAGAGAGAGGGCTGAAAGTTGAGTTGATTACCAATGGCCAATAATATAATCAATCATGTGTATTGAATGAAGCTTTCATAAAATTCCTAGTGGACAGCATTCAGAGAGCTTCTGGCTGAATTCAAGGTACTGGGAGGGTGGTGCTCATGGAGAGGGCATAGATGTTTCATGTCCCTTCACCCCATACCTTGCCCTACATATTTCTTACCGTTTGCTTGTTTCTGAACTGGATCTCTTATTAAAATTAGAAAAGTAAGTCAAGTATTTCTATGGTTTATTTTTTATTTTATTTTGAGATAGGGTCTCAGTAAGATGCCCAGGCTGACCTTGAACTTGTTATTCTCCTGCCTCAGCCTCCTGAATTGCTTGGAATACAGGCATGTTCCACCGTGCCTGGCTATTTCCCTGAGGTTTGTGATCTATTCTAGCAAATTATTGAACCTCTAGAGGATGTCATGGGAATGTCTAATTTATAGCCAGTGAATAGAAAGTATAGGAGGCCCACATTTGCAATTGGCACCTAAAATAGAGACAATCTCGTAGGACTGAGCCCTCAACTTGTGGGATCTGATTCTAACTCCAAGTAAAAATAGTGTCAGAATTGGATTTCATTGTAGGATACCCTGATGATGTCCCCTGCCCCCCCACACACATACACACAAAGGGGTAATTGCATGTTGTAGAAGTGAGGTAAGATAGAATACATAGGAATAGGTAGAAAGGAGACATGAGAGACATCAACGAGAGTAGCCATGATTTAAAGTCCATTTTCACATGGATTAAAAGGCCAGTTAAAAGCTTGTGATCTTGATCACAAACAGTACTATTAAATTAATTATTAGATCTTATTCACAGGTACACCAATGTGGTACTGTTTAAATTCACAAAGCATAATGCATCGAAAACCAGGAAGAAAAGACATGAACCCCACCCCCAACATCCCTGATAATGGTCAACGTGTCTGTAAATGACCCACACCCTGCAATCACGGTAATAGTCCACATGCCACATGTTACCAACACAAAGGAAAATGTCAAATACTCACCTAGATCATGTCCCTGTACGACTGATCTGACTTGTATAAATATGCCTAGCTTCGATACAGCTAGCACA